TGAAATAGGGTTTAACGTCCTACTGTTCTGCTCCTACTGGGCTAATGAAGACGGGCAGCGGCACTTATGCCTACTCTTATATCGAAGTCCAAGTGCCAAGGGATCTTTTACGTGCATGCCAAAGTATACACGGGACCTCAGTTTTTCGTTCCATACGAACGACTAGACAGCTGTACTTGCCAGACCCCCTGTCCTGCACCACTGACAAAGGGGGAACCATGCAGGAAAATCCTGATGAACTTTCTCAGCCAATGCAGGGATCGAACACACGACCTCCAGGCCAACGAGCCAGCGTCTTACCCACTTAAGCCACCGTGGCTCTGAACTTTGAAGTAATAAAGCAAACGTCCTACTCACTGAGCCACCGTTGCTCCCACTTCATTTCGATTCCAGACATGGGGCCTAGTTTTTTTTATCCCATCCGAACGACTATACGTTGTCCCTTGCCAGGCTCTCCGTCCTACACCACTGACAAGGGTGAACCACGCATGAAAACTCCCGATGAACTTTTATGAATTTGGAGAGGAAATGTCCTACTCACTGAGCCACCATTGCTCCCACTTCATTTCGATTCCGGACACGGGTCCTTGGTTTTTTTTTATATTTCATCCGAACGACTATACGTTGTCTCTTGCCAGACTCTCCGTCCCACATCACTGACAAGGGTGGACCACGCATGAAAAATCCTGAAGAACTTTCTTGAAGTAAGGCAGCAAACGTCCTACCACCGTAGCTCATTTCGATCGCGGACAGGGGACCTTGGTTACTTTTATCCCATCCGAACGAATATACATTGTCCCTTGCCAGGTCCCCGTCCTACACCACTGACAAGGTGGAACAACGCATGAAAAATCCATATGATCTTCGATAAAGTCAACGAGCAATCGTCCTACTCACTGAGCCACCGTTGCTCCCAATTCATTTAGATTCTGGACACGGGACCTCGGTAACCTTTATCCCATCCGAACAACTATATGTTGGCCCTTGCCATGCCCCCGTCCTGCAACACGCATGAAAAGTCACGCTGATCTTTAATGAAGTTAGAGAGCAAACTGAGCCACAGTTGTCCCTACTTCATTTCGATTCCGGACACGGGACCTTAGTTTTTATTATCCCATCCGAACCATTATTCGTTGTCCGTTACCAGGCTCTCGGTCCTACACCACTGACCAGGGGGAACCATGCATGAAAATCCTGATGAACGTTGATGAAGTTAGAGAGCAAAGAAAGATTCGACTGAAGACCTAAAATTGAGTACAGAATACAATACTATCTGTGCAAGTAGAGATTAAAATTGGTTAGGACTATTAAACTTTCTAGAACCCCAAAAGTTTCCGTCTATTTAATCCATGTCCAAATATAAATGCCGATACGGTAGTTAGTGGACATGCGCATACATTGCACTTCCAAGGCGAGAACATGAGGGAGCGAGAAGTCGAGGTGTATAAAAAAATTCTGGGTACACACTGTTAACCACCCATAGATGTTTTTATGACAATAATTCAATTCATATACTTTATTCAGCTCGACGTAAAACTTAAAAAATATATAGACACAGTTGGTTTAACTTGAATGTAGATAGTAATCATCTACATTGCATATACATGTATGTACCTTTCGGTTGAACATCTCGACGTTAAACTTAAAAAATATATAGATACAGTTGGTTTAACTTGAATGTAGATAGTTTTAGATTTTTAAATGATTGAATTTAAAAGACCCGTTAAGTACGAACTGTTTCGTGTTGTTTTTCTTCTTTTTTTGAGTGGGGGGGGGCTATTTGTAATTTAAATTTTAAACTTGATTTTCTAATATTAAAAATTAATTTTCAAAACTATTTCATAATTCCTCATGAAAAACCAGTGTGAGTATTAGTAAGCCAGTGGCCTATAACAAAACAGGGAACAGTATGACATTAGTTCCTTACTTTATTCCCTATTCCGTTTCCTTACCATTATTATTTTTTAAAACCTACTCCCTAAAGACCCTCACTTTAACTTTAATTTTATTACTCAAATTTACTACAGGTCATGTTAACCTGATAATATACACACCTAACTCATGAAATTATATTGTTTAATAAACCTATCAATCTCAACTTATGAATGACTCTAATTTATTCTCTATACAGTTAAATTTTAAATACTTACACTGAAAAAACACTTGTGTTGGATCTCAACACAAGTACTTATGTTAAAACTAATCTACACAACTTACGTGTTGTTTTGCATTGCATTAACACAAACTTGTGTCGATTTATAAAATCTTGTGTTTTTTTTCACATCATTAACACAAGTAATGTGTACCTTCCAAGATTTGTTTTCTTTTTAAAAAAAAAACTCCATACAAAGTCTGAATTCGGGAGTCGCAAGTTTTAAGAAAAGTAATAAAGGGCTTAATTCACATCTCGAAAATCACATGCTGTTCTTCACTTGAAGGGTGTGAGTACCAATTAATCAGACAATTGCCAGACAGACTTGAATGTTAATTGATGTTAAGTTGTCTGTATAGTTAAAATGTCTGTCTTTTTTTATTGACCCAATAAACTGATAGATCAAATGAATATATAGTGTACATGTGATTTTCAGCACCCTGGTGTTTTCGAAAATTGATTCAATGTACAATGAACAAAAAAAATGAGTAAAACTCTTAATAATGTAATTGGTTGATGTAATCGAAATTGGACAGTATTGGTTAACTGAAAAGTAACCAATCAAATTTAATTGATCATCCACGTGTATCTCATAATCGACTTATTGATATAATGGTTCTCCAAGTTATCTATACTTTTTGTCTGCGATATCACTTCGGTGGAAGCGGACGTAAAATACAACTAACTAAGAACAAGTATCTATACTTTAGTCATTGCGACAAATTCTTTCTTTGATATTATATCAGCGACATTCAGTTAGATAGATGTAGTGAAGTTAGCATCAACAGGGTGCTTTAGCCGTGATATTTTTAAAAAAATTATAATGGTCACATAGAATACCAGACCGCAGGTTTGTAAATTTTTACAAAAAATAAAACCGTGTATTTAATTTAGTATGTATATATTGCTTCTATGTATATAATAATTCGTTTCGTTTAAAACAGTCAGATTTAGAACTACTGCCACTGACTGCACCGGAAGTCTATTTATATAATGGCGCCACAAAGAATTTTTTTTTTAAGTGTTCTAAAAGTGTTCCGCTAATTCAGCAATCTAATGAATCTGTCTTAATTTTTCTGAAATCGTGCTTAATTATTATTAGCTAATCGGCGCTACACCGTTGTTCAAATACTTATAATTGCAAGAAACCCCCGACTAGGACCAGCAGGTAAGAATCTGTCTTGATTTTATAGTAATACCCGGTTGCAATTATTGGCCGCCATATTTGATTTTTATAGACGTTCGGGCAAAAGGAGAAATGTATATCCAGACATGGACTATAGCTAGATACTAACTTTTGTGTTAGTTGTTTAGTTGAAATGTAATCTTATTTCTGTAAAAGAAAAAAACAACAACAAACAAATCAGCCTTTTTTTATATCAATGTCATCAATGTGTAGGCCTAATATTAGACTTTCAATGATTCAGAAGTTTCTCTACAGTTTCCTTATTTTTTTTCCCAGTCATTGATGTTAGCATGTACTACACAAAGAAAAACATGTTGACAAATACGTAAGACGATATGAACATCAACTAAAAAGATATGTAATGTTATTCAGCTGCAAGGTGATATATGCATATATGCAGCATAGATAATTAAAACTTCTATTCAAGTTAAACCAACTGTATCTATTTATTTAAGTCTTACGTCGAGCGGAATACATTTTATGATTTATTGTCATCTATTGGTGGTTAACAGTGTGTAACTAAAAACTAAAATTGGATCTTATTATTGCCAATGATATAATGTACATGTAATAGCAAGTGTATATATATTTTTTGTTCAGTCTGTACACAGTAACATATCTGAGAACCATATTATTATCATTTCTGCCCAAGGCTCCCTGTGCCTTATAGTTAGCAGTGATACAAGGCAATTACCAATTTTCCATGTTCTTGGCCTGAAGAAATAAAATAATAAAAATAAAAGTCAAGTTTTTATTATTATGCAAGTGGAAAAATACAATTATTCATAGTATGATTTGAATAAATACAACTGATTTGAAGTTGGAATTATTATTTGTCTAAGATGACTGGGCATTTACAAATTGAAATAGCTACTCTTCATCAAGAAAATACCTGAATATTTTTCCCAATTCACCTGGATTTTATTGTAGGTCTTTGTACGTGAAATAGCTTTATTTAACGTCCGTTACCACCGAAGTGATATTGCAGAAAAATAACAAATTCGGATTCCCTTTTAAAGGAAATTGACTGCACTATCGCTGTATTGTATTATATAGGTCATGTCAGTTTTTTTCAAAATAGCGCCCAGAACACAAAACAAACATTGCAATTCAAGGCGGACAGGTGTCGAGGCTGTATCCTAAGAATGATTTTTTGAATATTTAATCACACAGAAACACAAGTATGCACATGCAGTTATGATATAATATTAAATTAGCTTACCTCAAATACCTCGAAATATACTGTTTGGTCAGTTTGTCCGCCCGCCATATTTCTATTAGTCACACATCTTTCGGCCAATTAAAATGGACGTATATTTTGTTTTAACCGAAACGAAAAATTTGCGTTATAAATAGTAAACGAGCTTGATTGACCGACCGCTGCTAATATTTTTTCGTGAAACGGTATAACCGCAATCAACACACGGCCGCCATTCTCGATGATTGACAACTCACGTTTTTTCTCATCCACCAAAGAACCGTTAGGTTTCTTTGAACATACTGTAATAACATTGGGATTATCAGTTAATCAGCGTCCAATCGATTATACTATCCGGATTTAAGCGTGCTTGATTACCAGATAATATACACCCTATCGACTCGCCGCGTTAAAACATATTTTTACACATTTCTGAAAATACTTACAATCTGATTACCGTATGATGAATAACAATACACTTTATAGATCTTATAAATAATGGAAATTAGATATACATGACAATTAATATACCAAACGCTACAAAATATTATTCTTCATATTATGGTTAATAAATTGAAATGAATACTGTAAAATGATAATTATTAGGAATGATTATATATGTATACGATTACTTATCGTTGCACCGTTTATCCCGTAAAATAACAGAATTAAGTCCATTACAGAACGGAATAAAACATTTTATCCCTAAACTTCACGGAACTTCCTGGTCATTCCACCGTTTATTCCGTAAAATAACAGAATTAAGTCCATTATAGAAGGGAATAAAACATTTTATCCCTAAATTTCACGGAAATTCCCCGTTTAATACTGAATATTCCATAGAAATACATAAAACACGTAATTTGAAGAAACAATTCACACTATTAACACAATTTCTCCAAGAATACCATCGATTAACAGAAAAAAGGTGTTAAACTACTAATTCGGCCACATAAAGAATGGATATTTTTTACAGTGTACATACCCATCTGAACAGTTTTGAACCTTTCAAAAACAAAGTAATATCGAAATCGTGTCTTCAACTATTTTTGGTTGCGCTTTTTAATCAACATCCAAGATTGACGATAAGTACTTTCACGTACGCCAACAGCCAAATAAGGGCATTTGTCACCGTTCAATTGCAGACACGGTAAGCCAATCTTTGATTCTGGAACTAATTTTAAATTTCCTTCATTTTGTATGATTTTCGTAATATTCGCGGCAGTGCGCAACATCCCAGTCACGTACACATCGTCAAGCCACAAAAACGGTACTACGTAGGATGCACGATATAAGGCCGGAATGACGTCACTGCTATATACAAGCACAAACCCGATACAAAACTTGAATGGATAATACTCTTGGCCTTTAAGAAAAGTTGCATCCACTGCCCACTTGCCCCCGCGAAAGATTACACCATTAGAATTAATAATGCCGTATATGGTTTCGGACACATACAGATTATTGGCGTGAACCAATTTCAGAAACCTCCACATGTCAAAAATGGCGTCATCATCAGTTTTTACGACATATTTCACTTTGGAACAAAAATGTGAAACCCAATGTAAACCCATAACTGCTTTAAATGTTAAATTATGGTAGGCATCTATAAAATCTCCTTGAATTATGTCACCATATTGTGAATTTTCCCTTAAAATGTCATTCTGCAATTGCAAAGTTTTCACTCGTCCCAAAAGAAATATCACACGGATCTCGATTGGTAAAAACAATTCCCTGGAACCGTAGGTTGTCCGAATGTTGTTTCTTCGAACAAAATGGTTGGGATCAGTGTGAACAACAACTATGGCGGTAATGGGAGAAGATCCACAGCAAATACTCTTATTATTCAATAAATAATCTCCATTGAATATTGGATTCAATTTCTTACCGAAAGCTATTAAAGAATCGTCCATGGAACAACTACTGATGTTATTCAATGACACAACTGGTTTATTATCGCTTGTTTTTTCATGGCGGCTGCTGTTATCAAAAACATCTAAATTGCTGCTGTATTTTATCTCTAACCTTTTTAAATGTGCTTCCATAAACCCTTTCCAGAAATAAAAAGAGACTAATAAATATAGTATGATAATTCCACCAAAATATTTTAGATATCTAAGAGCGTTTGAGGGAAAGTAACTTGAGATTCTACTCATAATCATGATTGTAAACTTTGCACAAAATTACCTGAAAAGAGAAACACACATATTTAAAATATCTTTTCAAAACAAAACCAAAATCGAAACGAACTTTTAAAGTTCCCGGCCACCTTTGTCGACGTCATAATGTTTATATTATTTAATATACTGTCTTCAGCTTTCTCTGTCGGTTTGTAGAAAGAGGCTAAGCCGACAAGTCGACATCTCGACGTTACGAAAAAAATAACACGATGTTACGACAGAATAAAGTGTCGTATGATTGTGTCAATAGTGTCGTGGTGTCGCGTTACGAAAAGGGCGAGATTTAAAATGGCCACTATCAGCCACCATAGTTCAATGATAATATGGAGAGAGAGAGAAATGGGGTTTAACGTCCACTCGACACAAACTAGGTCATTTTGAATTATTATTTTGAATTAATAAAATCAAAGGAATGTACGGGCTATTTCTATTTTTCTCGTTTTCCCTTATCTAGTGACAGTCAATTATCATTTTGAATTGTCAGATATCCCCCAAGAAACCTTTTATGAAGGATACTTCACCGGTGCCTTCTTACCAAGATAAATCTAGAAGTATCGGATAAATTTATACATAAAATGATCCCGTGATGCATAGGCGTGTGGCCTCGATGGGTGTTAAGGGGGGAGGGGCTGGCTCATACGCCTATGTATACACTGTAACAAAAATATCCGTGAAAAAACGTAAGAAAATTCCGGAAACAAAAATTACCAGGAAAATTTTATCAGTATTTGTTATTCCTGTAATTTACAGAAATCCCTTCAATTAAAGATACATTATGGGAGATTTTTATAGAGAGTTGGCCATTCTTGCTAGAACAGTTCAAAAGTAGATGATGAAAGAAGAATATATTGAAAAATTCAGTCAAATTACTTTATTCTGAACATAGTTATCATCGTTGTAATATTTGCCTAGAAATGGTAGCGAATTGTGTCTTCACCTTCGCTGATCGTTTGATTGACAGGCGTTAACTCCACCTACATATCTCGATTATCAAGTAAAGTTTTCAATGGCATACCGAAACGCTTTACAGCGGCCTCGCTAAGTACACTCTATCATTTAGCCTCGATCTAACTGACGTATTTTCATCAGGTTACCCCTTATTTGATTTAATCAATTAGTGAAATCCTATTTAAATCCGAGCTGTAGCCGAGCCATCCGTGGGTCTACAGAGTTGATTTTGGTCTTGTTGTTTAAATAAAGATCTAATTTATAATTTCTATAACATCTGAAGCCTAAATTAAGACTTGCAATAATCAGATTTAGCTCTTGCATAATGCATGTTTAACATAAATTCCATTTTCAACTACAGAAAAAAAAAATCCTGGAAAATTTTGTTTCCTGCGCACGAAGGTGATAAAAATTTCATTGAATTAGCCATTGACTTAGCTTTATTTAACGTCCGCTTCCACCGAAGTGATATCGAAGACAATCTTTAAACGTAACCTCTTTTCGCTAATGTAAGAATACGGAATATCCTAATCGAGAGCAAGGTATCACAAACCGCTACTCGTCAGTGATTGGACCAGTTAGAGGCTTTCAGATGTAAGCTTGCGGTACTATCAATTAGCAAGTATGTAAACTGCCATCGAGACAAACCGACTAACAGTGTCCAATCGGTTATACTATCCGGATTTAAGCGTGCTTGATTACCAGATAATATACACCCTATAGACTCGCCGCGTTAAAACATATTTTTACACATTTCTGAAAATACTTACAATCTGATTACCGTATGATGAATAACAATACACTTTATAGATCTTATAAATAATGGAAATTAGATATACATGACAATTAATATACCAAACGCTACAAAATATTATTCTTCATATTATGGTTAATAAATTGAAATGAATACTGTAAAATGATAATTATTAGGATTGATTATATATGTATACGATTACTTATCGTTGCACCGTTTATCCCGTAAAATAACAGAATTAAGTCCATTACAGAACGGAATAAAACATTTTATCCCTAAACTTCACGGAACTTCCTGGTCATTCCACCGTTTATTCCGTAAAATAACAGAATTAAGTCCATTATAGAAGGGAATAAAACATTTTATCCCTAAATTTCACGGAAATTCCCCGTTTAATACTGAATATTCCATAGAAATACATAAAACACGTAATGTGAAGAAATAATTCACACTATTAACACAATTTCTCCAAGAATGCCATCGATTAACAGAAAAAAGGTGTTAAACTACTAATTCGGCCACATAAAGAATGGATATTTTTTACAGTGTACATACCCATCTGAACAGTTTTGAACCTTTCAAAAACAAAGTAATATCGAAATCGTGTCTTCAACTATTTTTGGTTGCGCTTTTTAATCAACATCCAAGATTGACGATAAGTACTTTCACGTACGCCAACAGCCAAATAAGGGCATTTGTCACCGTTCAATTGCAGACACGGTAAGCCAATCTTTGATTCTGGAACTAATTTTAAATTTCCTTCATTTTGTATGATTTTCGTAATATTCGCGGCAGTGCGCAACATCCCAGTCACGTACACATCGTCAAGCCACAAAAACGGTTCTACGTAGGATGCACGATATAAGGCCGGAATGACGTCACTGCTATATACAAGCACAAACCCGATACAAAACTTGAATGGATAATACTCTTGGCCTTTAAGAAAAGTTGCATCCACTGCCCACTTGCCCCCGCGAAAGATTATACCTTTAGAATTAATAATGCCGTATATGGTTTCGGACACATACAGATTATTGGCGTGAACCAATTTCAGAAACCTCCACATGTCAAAAATGGCGTCATCATCAGTTTTTACGACATATTTCACTTTGGAACAGAAATGTGTAAACCCATAACTGCTTTAAATGTTAAATTATGGTAGGCATCTATAAAATCTCCTTGAATTATGTCACCATATTGTGAATTTTCCCTTAAAATGTCATTCTGCAATTGCAAAGTTTTCACTCGTCCCAAAAGAAATATCACACGGATCTCGATTGGTAAAAACAATTCCCTGGAACCGTAGGTTGTCCGAATGTTGTTTCTTCGAACAAAATGGTTGGGATCAGTGTGAACAACAACTATAGTCTGGTCGGGGTAGAAAATTTGCGGGAAGAAATTCCTACCCAAATGATTTCTTCATTTTCTGAAACAACTATGTCCCTAGTGTTCCAGAAAAATTTTCCCCGCCGATCGGAGTTGAGCAAAATTTTTTTACAGCATTTTGAAATTTTGACCCCCTGGGTCAACATAATGAAACTGAAAACCATTTATAACTTCAAAAATATCAATTTTACAGCCTAGAAATATATTATCAACATAGGAAGGTGATACCAAGGAATCCAGAAATGACGTCAATAGTAATGTACGACGTCACCGTGACGTCAGAATACAAAATGGCGGAACTATGACGCCACTGTGATGTCAAAATTCAAAATGGCGGAGACGTGTTGTGAATAAAGCAATAACAGCAAGCAAATAGACAAGAGGAATAAAATATTCATTCGGATCATTTGTTCTACCCCGTACCAATTTCATCTTCTAAATCAATGCTGATTTGTTCGCTATTGAGACAACCCTCCCCGTGGCATCCTCCACACGCTTCAACACATTTCAAACCATTCTGTGTACAAGAACATGACGAGCAATTGTTGTTTCAACGATTTACATTTACACCAGATGAAATTCAGAACGTTGTCTGGTGCTGATGGAAGAACAGTCGCGATGGGAACGTATCTATTCTCTATCACTTGCCAACCCCAATTCACAGGATCGACGCCATCGTCTAGTTCATCCCAAATTCTATTCTGAACATGAATGCGGTGAGCATGCTGCTCGGCCGCAGCAGCTGTTGGGTGAAGTCTATTGATTTGAATGGAAATGTTTTCAGCGATCATAGCTTTGTACCTTAGGTACCGGACTTTAGTCGGAGATATCTCATTTTTGTGACCATACATTGACATTGTACAGAATAACCTTTCCCCAGCTTCAGATACTTCGGACTGGGAACTTCCAGGTGAAGCTATTGTCTTGCTAGCTTCCTGAAAGATGTCACTGTTCGTATGTTTAAGAAGTCCCAATTTACCGAATCCGAAACAACCAGATTTCCCTCACCAAATTGTCGTATTTGGTTCATAGCTGTCGAACACGACGATTGGCGAGGGAAATCTTTTTACAAATGACCGATAGTTTTCTAAGATGTTGGAGATATTCTTACCCTTAGTCCACCTTACAAAGTTGATTAGCAGACCTCCATCAATGACAGTTATTTCACTGGCGAGCGAAGTGTTCGAAACGGGTGAAACGTTCTTGAACAAATGCTCAGCGAGATCGGACTTGGTTACATGTCGCATGAAAGCTCCTGCAAACAGTGAGGACGGGAAGGCACTCAACTCATATTTGAAGAACTGTTGAATATCTGTACCTGTGCGCTGTGCCACCGTAATACATCTTTGGAAAAGAACTTCTGGTTGCTCTCGCACTGTCTTGCCTTGAACTTTAACACCTGGCTTCAGGTCCCTCGCCAATCGTCGTGTTCAGCGTCTATGAACCAAATATTAAGGATCATGAGCACGAGCGCCGAGATATCTATAGTCAAGCCCAGTTTCTGGCCAACACTGAAAACAAAATCCGTCTAATCAATCAAGTGGTCAACGATCTTGAATTTTGACATCACAGTGACGTCATAGTTCCGCCATTTTTTTTATTCTGACGTCACGGTGACGTCGTACGCAAAGCCCTGTATAGGGAAAGTTACGACAACTCATTTACAGGCGCCATTTTGGTGTCCCAACTATAACGCCATAAAAAATATGACGTCATGGCGTCATATAGCTTTACTTAACAAAACGTTTTATTTTTTCTTGGTATAACGTTTTACGGGCTACAGTTCATCCTAAACAAATTGCAAAAGTAACCAATGCAGTTTGGTTCAATGATAAATATGTCAGACGAAATCATACTCAAATTCGGCCAAAATGACATGATTAACAGAATTCAATTTGGTGTTCTTCAGGAATTTTCGGAGAGTGGTTATGCAAGCGAAATGTGTGGAAAAATCGAATTTGAAAAACATCAATAAAAAAAATGTATTTGTCATTTGGTGGCGGGCATTTCTTTCAATATGACTGCCAAATTTGGTAAAAGAATATCATTTTAAAAAATAAAAATTAAAATGAAAAAAACAACATTAATTTGGTAATAAAAGGGCAGCGATAATCTCATTTTAGGTACATTGAAATGTTGGCAATAAAGATAATATCATAGTTTTTAGTTACACATTGTTTACGAACCACCCATAGATCCTTTAATGACAATAAATCATATCCTTTATTCAGCTCGACGCTATACCGGTATTTAAAATGATTAGATGCAGTTCGTTTAACTTGAATGTAGATATTTTATATCTATGTTGCATAAATAATATATAGGACTTTTCGGTTGAATCATATCTTAGAAGTATCTTATTTCATAGTTTTACGTATTTGTCGACATTATAAAGGTATACTTGTTCTATTGTTTCATTTAGCCTATGCGTTTTCTTGTTTCACTTGACTAAACAACTAAACAAAAAAATTTGTAGGAATGTATATAGGCTTTTATAGATTGAAAAAAAAGCTGATAAAAATTGAGATGTGTGGAACATGTTCGAGGCGATTTGTAACAAATCTCAGACACGATATATATTTGATACTAGTTGAGCATCAGAACAACATGATTATTTCATTGGAAATGGGGCGCAAATAGCCAAAAGAGTCCTTCACTGGGCCCCTTCAATATCTGTCTACCTGTGGAATAACATGTACATTATTTGTATCTGTTAAATTTGTGCGGTTTATATATTAGATTAATATTATTATTTACCCATGGGCGGGGAGTGATAACGTCTTACCCCAAACAAATTGCAAAAGAAACCAGAAAGTTTCGGAGAGCGATATCTCGTATCAAATGTCACTGATGAAACATATGCCCGAAACACATGTCACGCTAGACACCTTTTATTTGAATTACACTGATTTTACACTGATTTTAAGTTACACTGATTTTAAATGTTTTATCCATTAGTCAATTTAAAGAAATTTCTATTTTCGAAAAATTGATGATACAATTAATGATCGATGACAGAAAACTGACACACAATCCGGAATGACTCCATGGAATTTCAGGCATTTATTTTGCCGACTAGAAGGCAAAAAGGTTGTATCTCCCAAATTACTATTTAAATTTTCATTTTTAACTTTACCCGTCTGCACAAAAAATCTGATTTTTAAAAGCGTATGCAATTTAATTGCGCTTTTATTTGGTGTATCTTTTATTTCACTTTCTTATGAATTAGACTATTCTTACAACAATAATGTGCGCTTTCTGTATAATAATAATAATAGTTTGTTCAGCTATACTTTTCGTTTAAAAAATGTATTGTATGACATATCTATATACATACTTGTCGGGGGCAGCCAACTTCGACACAACAATATGATAGGACATAAAATAGATAGTGAGTAGGTACAAATACTTGGGACCCAAGATGGCGTCTAACTACACTTGAGGTCATATTTTCATGACGTCATATGAAATTTCTGGCTTCACAATTGTCGCAACTTTATCTATAATATTATACGGCTTTGGTCGTACGTTACTTTTGACGTCATTTCTGGATTCCTTGGTATCACTTTCCTATATGTTGATAATACATTTCTAGGCTGTAAAATTGATATTTTTGAAGTTATAAATGGTTTTCATTTTCATTATGTTGACCCAGGGGGTGAAAAGTTCAAAGTGCTGTAAAAAATTTTGCTCAACTCCGATCCGCGGGGAAAATTTTTCTGGAACACTAGGGAAATAGTTGTTTCAGAAAATGAAGAAATCATTTGGGTAGGAATTTTTTCCCACAAAGCTGGATTTGTCACCTTCTCCAACCAGCTTACTATGGCGGTAATGGGAGAAGATCCACAGCAAATACTCTTATTATTCAATAAATAATCTCCATTGAATATTGGATTCAATTTCTTACCGAAAGCTATTAAAGAATCGTCCATGGAACAACTACTGATGTTATTCAATGACACAACTGGTTTATTATCGCTTGTTTTTTCATGGCGGCTGCAGTTATCAAAAACATCTAAATTGCTGCTGTATTTTATCTCTAACCTTTTTAAATGTGCTTCCATAAACCCTTTCCAGAAATAAAAAGAGACTAATAAATATAGTATGATAATTCCACCAAAATATTTTAGATATCTAAGAGCGTTTGAGGGAAAGTAACTTGAGATTCTACTCATAATCATGATTGTAAACTTTGCACAAAACTACCTGAGAAGAGAAACACACATATTTAAAAAATCTTTTCAAAACAAAACCAAAATCGAAACGAACTTTTAAAGTTCCCGGCCACCTTTGTCGACGTCATAATGTTTATATTATTTAATATACTGTCTTCAGCTTTCTCTGTCGGTTTGTAGAAAGAGGCTAAGCCGACAAGTCGACATCTCGACGTTACGAAAAAAATAACACGATGTTACGACAGAATAAAGTGTCGTATGATTGTGTCAATAGTGTCGTGGTGTCGCGTTATGAAAAGGGCGAGATTTAAAATGGCCACTATCAGCCACCATAGTTCAATGATAATATGGAGAGAGAGAGAAATGGGGTTTAACGTCCACTCGACACAAACTAGGTCATTTTGAATTATTATTTTGAATTAATAAAATCAAAGGAATGTACGGGCTATTTCTATTTTTCTCGTTTTCCCTTATCTAGTGACAGTCAATTATCATTTTGAATTGTCAGATATCCCCCAAGAAACCTTTTATGAAGGATACTTCACCGGTGCCTTCTTACCAAGATAAATCTAGAAGTATCGGATAAATTTATACATAAAATGATCCCGTGATGCATAGGCGTGTGGCCTCGATGGGTGTTAAGGGGGGAGGGGCTGGCTCATACGCCTATGTATACACTGTAACAAAAATATCCGTGGAAAAACGTAAGAAAATTCCGGAAACAAAAATTACCAGGAAAATTTTATCAGTATTTGTTATTCCTGTAATTTACAGAAATCCCTTCAATTAAAGATACATTATGGGAGATTTTTATAGAGAGTTGGCCATTCTTGCTAGAACAGTTCAAAAGTAGATGATGAAAGAAGAATATATTGAAAAATTCAGTCAAATTACTTTATTCTGAACATAGTTATCATCGTTGTAATATTTGCCTAGAAATGGTAGCGAATTGTGTCTTCACCTTCGCTGATCGTTTGATTGACAGGCGTTAACTCCACCTACATATCTCGATTATCAAGTAAAGTTTTCAATGGCATACCGAAACGCTTTACAGCGGCCTCGCTAAGTACACTCTATCATTTAGCCTCGATCTAACTGACGTATTTTCATCAGGTTACCCCTTATTTGATTTAATCAATTAGTGAAATCCTATTTAAATCCGAGCTGTAGCCGAGCCATCCGTGGGTCTACAGAGTTGATTTTGGTCTTGTTGTTTAAATAAAGATCTAATTTATAATTTCTATAACATCTGAAGCCTAAATTAAGACTTGCAATAATCAGATTTAGCTCTTGCATAATGCATGTTTAACATAAATTCCATTTTCAACTACAGAAAAAAAAAATCCTGGAAAATTTTGTTTCCTGCGCACGAAGGTGATAAAAATTTCATTGAATTAGCCATTGACTTAGCTTTATTTAACGTCCGCTTCCACCGAAGTGATATCGCAGACAATCTTTAAACGTAACCTCTTTTCGCTAATGTAAGAATACGGAATATCCTAATCGAGAGCAAGGTATCACAAACCGCTACTCGTCAGTGATTGGACCAGTTAGAGGCTTTCAGATGTAAGCTTGCGGTACTATCAATTAGCAAGTATGTAAACTGCCATCGAGACAAACCGACTAACAGTGTCCAATCGGTTATACTATCCGGATTTAAGCGTGCTTGATTACCAGATAATATACACCCTATAGACTCGCCGCGTTAAAACATATTTTTACACATTTCTGAAAATACTTACAATCTGATTACCGTATGATGAATAACAATACACTTTATAGATCTTATAAATAATGGAAATTAGATATACATGACAATTAATATACCAAACGCTACAAAATATTATTCTTCATATTATGGTTAATAAATTGAAATGAATACTGTAAAATGATAATTATTAGGATTGATTATATATGTATACGATTACTTATCGTTGCACCGTTTATCCCGTAAAATAACAGAATTAAGTCCATTACAGAACGGAATAAAACATTTTATCCCTAAACTTCACGGAACTTCCTGGTCATTCCACCGTTTATTCCGTAAAATAACAGAATTAAGTCCATTATAGAAGGGAATAAAACATTTTATCCCTAAATTTCACGGAAATTCCCCGTTTAATACTGAATATTCCATAGAAATACATAAAACACGTAATGTGAAGAAATAATTCACACTATTAACACAATTTCTCCAAGAATGCCATCGATTAACAGAAAAAAGGTGTTAAACTACTAATTCGGCCACATAAAGAATGGATATTTTTTACAGTGTACATACCCATCTGAACAGTTTTGAACCTTTCAAAAACAAAGTAATATCGAAATCGTGTCTTCAACTATTTTTGGTTGCGCTTTTTAATCAACATCCAAGATTGACGATAAGTACTTTCACGTACGCCAACAGCCAAATAAGGGCATTTGTCACCGTTCAATTGCAGACACGGTAAGCCAATCTTTGATTCTGGAACTAATTTTAAATTTCCTTCATTTTGTATGATTTTCGTAATATTCGCGGCAGTGCGCAACATCCCAGTCACGTACACATCGTCAAGCCACAAAAACGGTTCTACGTAGGATGCACGATATAAGGCCGGAATGACGTCACTGCTATATACAAGCACAAACCCGATACAAAACTTGAATGGATAATACTCTTGGCCTTTAAGAAAAGTTGCATCCACTGCCCACTTGCCCCCGCGAAAGATTATACCTTTAGAATTAATAATGCCGTATATGGTTTCGGACACATACAGATTATTGGCGTGAACCAATTTCAGAAACCTCCACATGTCAAAAATGGCGTCATCATCAGTTTTTACGACATATTTCACTTTGGAACAGAAATGTGTAAACCCATAACTGCTTTAAATGTTAAATTATGGTAGGCATCTATAAAATCTCCTTGAATTATGTCACCATATTGTGAATTTTCCCTTAAAATGTCATTCTGCAATTGCAAAGTTTTCACTCGTCCCAAAAGAAATATCACACGGATCTCGATTGGTAAAAACAATTCCCTGGAACCGTAGGTTGTCCGAATGTTGTTTCTTCGAACAAAATGGTTGGGATCAGTGTGAACAACAACTATAGTCTGGTCGGGGTAGAAAATTTGCGGGAAGAAATTCCTACCCAAATGATTTCTTCATTTTCTGAAACAACTATGTCCCTAGTGTTCCAGAAAAATTTTCCCCGCCGATCGGAGTTGAGCAAAATTTTTTTACAGCATTTTGAAATTTTGACCCCCTGGGTCAACATAATGAAACTGAAAACCATTTATAACTTCAAAAATATCAATTTTACAGCCTAGAAATATATTATCAACATAGGAAGGTGATACCAAGGAATCCAGAAATGACGTCAATAGTAATGTACGACGTCACCGTGACGTCAGAATACAAAATGGCGGAACTATGACGCCACTGTGATGTCAAAATTCAAAATGGCGGAGACGTGTTGTGAATAAAGCAATAACAGCAAGCAAATAGACAAGAGGAATAAAATATTCATTCGGATCATTTGTTCTACCCCGTACCAATTTCATCTTCTAAATCAATGCTGATTTGTTCGCTATTGAGACAACCCTCCCCGTGGCATCCTCCACACGCTTCAACACATTTCAAACCATTCTGTGTACAAGAACATGACGAGCAATTGTTGTTTCAACGATTTACATTTACACCAGATGAAATTCAGAACGTTGTCTGGTGCTGATGGAAGAACAGTCGCGATGGGAACGTATCTATTCTCTATCACTTGCCAACCCCAATTCACAGGATCGACGCCATCGTCTAGTTCATCCCAAATTCTAACCTGAACATGAATGCGGTGAGCATGCTGCTCGGCCGCAGCAGCTGTTGGGTGAAGTCTATTGATTTGAATGGAAATGTTTTCAGCGATCATAGCTTTGTACCTTAGGTACCGGACTTTAGTCGGAGATATCTCATTTTTGTGACCATACATTGACATTGTACAGAATAACCTTTCCCCAGCTTCAGATACTTCGGACTGGGAACTTCCAGGTGAAGCTATTGTCTTGCTAGCTTCCTGAAAGATGTCACTGTTCGTATGTTTAAGAAGTCCCAATTTACCGAATCCGAAACAACCAGATTTCCCTCACCAAATTGTCGTATTTGGTTCATAGCTGTCGAACACGACGATTGGCGAGGGAAATCTTTTTACAAATGACCGATAGTTTTCTAAGATGTTGGAGATATTCTTACCCTTAGTCCACCTTACAAAGTTGATTAGCAGACCTCCATCAATGACAGTTATTTCACTGGCGAGCGAAGTGTTCGAAACGGGTGAAACGTTCTTGAACAAATGCTCAGCGAGATCGGACTTGGTTACATGTCGCATGAAAGCTCCTGCAAACAGTGAGGACGGGAAGGCACTCAACTCATATTTGAAGAACTGTTGAATATCTGTACCTGTGCGCTGTGCCACCGTAATACATCTTTGGAAAAGAACTTCTGGTTGCTCTCGCACTGTCTTGCCTTGAACTTTAACACCTGGCTTCAGGTCCCTCGCCAATCGTCGTGTTCAGCGTCTATGAACCAAATATTAAGGATCATGAGCACGAGCGCCGAGTTATCTATAGTCAAGCCCAGTTTCTGGCCAACACTGAAAACAAAATCCGTCTAATCAATCAAGTGGTCAACGATCTTGAATTTTGACATCACAGTGACGTCATAGTTCCGCCATTTTTTTTATTCTGACGTCACGGTGACGTCGTACGCAAAGCCCTGTATAGGGAAAGTTACGACAACTCATTTACAGGCGCCATTTTGGTGTCCCAACTATAACGCCATAAAAAATATGACGTCATGGCGTCATATAGCTTTACTTAACAAAACGTTTTATTTTTTCTTGGTATAACGTTTTACGGGCTACAGTTCATCCTAAACAAATTGCAAAAGTAACCAATGCAGTTTGGTTCAATGATAAATATGTCAGACGAAATCATACTCAAATTCGGCCAAAATGACATGATTAACAGAATTCAATTTGGTGTTCTTCAGGAATTTTCGGAGAGTGGTTATGCAAGCGAAATGTGTGGAAAAATCGAATTTGAAAAACATCAATAAAAAAAATGTATTTGTCATTTGGTGGCGGGCATTTCTTTCAATATGACTGCCAAATTTGGTAAAAGAATATCATTTTAAAAAATAAAAATTAAAATGAAAAAAACAACATTAATTTGGTAATAAAAGGGCAGCGATAATCTCATTTTAGGTACATTGAAATGTTGGCAATAAAGATAATATCATAGTTTTTAGTTACACATTGTTTACCAACCACCCATAGATCCTTTAATGACAATAAATCATATCCTTTATTCAGCTCGACGCTATACCGGTATTTAAAATGATTAGATGCAGTTCGTTTAACTTGAATGTAGATATTTTATATCTATGTTGCATAAATAATATATAGGACTTTTCGGTTGAATCATATCTTAGAAGTATCTTATTTCATAGTTTTACGTATTTGTCGACATTATAAAGGTATACTTGTTCTATTGTTTCATTTAGCCTATGCGTTTTCTTGTTTCACTTGACTAAACAACTAAACAAAAAAATTTGTAGGAATGTATATAGGCTTTTATAGATTGAAAAAAAAGCTGATAAAAATTGAGATGTGTGGAACATGTTCGAGGCGATTTGTAACAAATCTCAGACACGATATATATTTGATACTAGTTGAGCATCAGAACAACATGATTATTTCATTGGAAATGGGGCGCAAATAGCCAAAAGAGTCCTTCACTGGGCCCCTTCAATATCTGTCTACCTGTGGAATAACATGTACATTATTTGTATCTGTTAAATTTGTGCGGTTTATATATTAGATTAATATTATTATTTACCCATGGGCGGGGAGTGATAACGTCTTACCCCAAACAAATTGCAAAAGAAACCAGAAAGTTTCGGAGAGCGATATCTCGTATCAAATGTCACTGATGAAACATATGCCCGAAACACATGTCACGCTAGACACCTTTTATTTGAATTACACTGATTTTACACTGATTTTAAGTTACACTGATTTTAAATATTTTATCCATTAGTCAATTTAAAGAAATTTCTATTTTCGAAAAATTGATGATACAATTAATGATCGATGACAGAAAACTGACACACAATCCGGAATGACTCCAGACCAAAAATCATGGAATTTCAGGCATTTATTTTGCCGACTAGAAGGCAAAAAGGTTGTATCTCCCAAATTACTATTTAAATTTTCATTTTTCACTTTACCCGTCTGCACAAAAAATCTGATTTTTAAAAGCGTATGCAATTTAATTGCGCTTTTATTTGGTGTATCTTTTATTTCACTTTCTTATGAATTAGACTATTCTTACAACAATAATGTGCGCTTTCTGTATAATAATAATAATAGTTTGTTCAGCTATACTTTTCGTTTAAAAAATGTATTGTATGACATATCTATATACATACTTGTCGGGGGCAGCCAACTTCGACACAACAATATGATAGGACATAAAATAGATAGTGAGTAGGTACAAATACTTGGGACCCAAGATGGCGTCTAACTACACTTGAGGTCATATTTTCATGACGTCATATGAAATTTCTGGCTTCACAATTGTCGCAACTTTATCTATAATATTATACGGCTTTGGTCGAACGTTACTTTTGACGTCATTTCTGGATTCCTTGGTATCACTTTCCTATATGTTGATAAAACATTTCTAGGGTGTAAAATTGATATTTTTGAAGTTATAAATGGTTTTCATTTTCATTATGTTGACCCAGGGGGTGAAAAGTTCAAAGTGCTGTAAAAAATTTTGCTCAACTCCGATCCGCGGGGAAAATTTTTCTGGAACACTAGGGAAATAGTTGTTTCAGAAAATGAAGAAATCATTTGGGTAGGAATTTTTTCCCACAAAGCTGGATTTGTCACCTTCTCCAACCAGCTTACTATGGCGGTAATGGGAGAAGATCCACAGCAAATACTCTTATTATTCAATAAATAATCTCCATTGAATATTGGATTCAATTTCTTACCGAAAGCTATTAAAGAATCGTCCATGGAACAACTACTGATGTTATTCAATGACACAACTGGTTTATTATCGCTTGTTTTTTCATGGCGGCTGCAGTTATCAAAAACATCTAAATTGCTGCTGTATTTTATCTCTAACCTTTTTAAATGTGCTTCCATAAACCCTTTCCAGAAATAAAAAGAGACTAATAAATATAGTATGATAATTCCACCAAAATATTTTAGATATCTAAGAGCGTTTGAGGGAAAGTAACTTGAGATTCTACTCATAATCATGATTGTAAACTTTGCACAAAACTACCTGAGAAGAGAAACACACATATTTAAAAAATCTTTTCAAAACAAAACCAAAATCGAAACGAACTTTTAAAGTTCCCGGCCACCTTTGTCGACGTCATAATGTTTATATTATTTAATATACTGTCTTCAGCTTTCTCTGTCGGTTTGTAGAAAGAGGCTAAGCCGACAAGTCGACATCTCGACGTTACGAAAAAAATAACACGATGTTACGACAGAATAAAGTGTCGTATGATTGTGTCAATAGTGTCGTGGTGTCGCGTTATGAAAAGGGCGAGATTTAAAGTGGCCACTATCAGCCACCATAGTTCAATGATAATATGGAGAGAGAGAGAAATGGGGTTTAACGTCCACTCGACACAAACTAGGTCATTTCGGGACTAACATATGGTTTAATTTGATTTCAATAATTCGCTTGCGCGTAGTGGGAGGAAACCGGGGGACCCGGGGAAAACCCACGAGGTTGGACAGGCGACCCTACTCCTTGTCACGTCAATGATAATATGTCAGACAAAATCATACTCAAGATCGGTCAAGGCAAAATTACATGATTAACATAATTCAATTTGGCGTTCTTCAGGAATTATCGGAGAGCGATATTTCGTAATCAGTGTCTTTCAGTGGTGGTAGGATAAATAATTTATTTTTAAACTCCTAAAACACAGAGTGGTTACGCAAGCGAAATGTGTCGAAAAATCGAATTTGACATCAATTAAAAAATGTATTTTTGATTTGGTGGCGGGCATTTCTTTGAAAATGACT